CAGCTTTGTTTCGGGGATGCACTAGGAAACTTTGAGACTTCGGTCTTACCATGAATTACTAGGTAGATCCAGAGAAGTGGGGGGCCAGGCCCTGAGGGCCAACCCCTGAGGTAAGGCCTCCCCCTGAAAACTGGACCCCGCCCCTCGGACACTGACACTTCCCCAGCCCAGCTGCTGGGAGCAGGTGCTGTTCCTGCTGCCCCTTCGGAGCGTTCTTCCCCTGACCTTCGGTTCCCTCTGTGCCTGCCGGGAATGCCCCGATCAACACTCAGGGGAGGCCCTCAGGGGGCACGGTGTCCCCTGAACTCTGGCTGCCTCGGCCCCTGCTCTCAGCTCCCCAGGTGAGGACAAGGAGCCCACCAAGCCCACCTCCGCACCCCTGGGGCTGGGCCACGGCCCAGGGACTCGCCCGCAGCAGTGAGCTGGGTGGGGCTCATCCCATCTGGTTCTCACCTCTCAGGGATGACTGACCTGGTTTTTAGAAATGTATTTTATTGAATGCATCGGGGTTGCACAGGTTGATAAGACTATGTAAGTGCGAAGTGCCCAGTTCTGTAACACACCCTCCGTGCACTGCACGGTGCATTCCCCGCCCTGAGTCTAGTCTCCTTCCGTCCTGTCCGTCCCCTCTGCCCTCTGCTACCTGCCTACCCCTCCCCCCGGAAACAGTGCGCAGGAAAATGTCTACCCCCTGACCAGGGTGGCTCAATGAGTTGGGCATTGTCCCGGAAACTGAAAGGTCACCGGTTCGATTCCTGGTCAGGGCACAGGCCTGGGTTGAGGGTTTGGTCCCCAGATGGGGCGCATGTGAAAGAAAGGCAACTGATCAACCTTTTTCTTTCACAACCGTGTTTCCCTCCTTTCTTTCTCCCTTTTCCTCCTTCTAAAAATAAATATACGCTAACAAAAGTGAGACAACCAACCTTATTGCTTGAAATGACTAACCTTGTGGCTTGATACTCATTTTCTTGAAAACTTTTTTCATATATTTTGTCCGTTTTTTCCCCCAGTTATTTCGCAGGGAGGGGGAGCCTGCTCTCGTTACCGTGCCCCAACCGGCATCGGAGTCCTCACTCCCTGCCGACTGCCCCCTGGGCATCTGCAGCCCCGCCCTCTCCCCCCGACCCCCATCCTCACACCTCCGTCCCCCAGCCTGCCCCAGAGGCACCTGCCCTTGTAAGACTCAGCCCTAAACGCGACTCTCCCTCTTCCCGTCTGCCCTCCCGAAAGAGCAGCCTGCGTGCAGTCTTGGTCGAGGGGCCAGGGAGGGGGCACAGTCCGCCTCTCAGCCTCCGCCTGCTCCCCGCCCATCAGGCCTCGGCGCAGCTTCTGTGCTAACCCTCCTCTGCACTTCTGTCATCGGCCCTCGGTGACCGCGTTGTTCCCACCTGCAGTGGCTCCCGCTCAGGTCGGAGACTCACGTCTACACCATTTAACTCTTGTCCACGTCTGACCCACACAGTGCTCTGGGGACGCCTGGTGCTGACACCCGTCAAATGCAGCATCTGGAAAGGGCAGTGGCGCTTGCCTGTTCTGCTCATCAGCATGTCCTCAGCGCTAAGCAGCGGCAGCCATGGGACAGGCTCTCCGTAGGTGCAGACGGGGTGGTGATCGCACCCCCTCCCCGCCCAGCGCCCCTCGGCCGCCCGACCTGAACCCACACCCAGCGCTCTCTCGGATCCACGGCTCGGGCTACAGACTCCCGCCAGCTTGGCGTCGGGCACCTGGGTCGCAGCTGGAAGGCCTGCCAGCACCTCAGTGTCGTCCTGTCCCAAACTCACTGTCTCTCACCTCACAGGGTCCCTCACGTCTTCCCTCCTTCCCACCGCACACTCAATCCCCGGGCCAGAAACCCGGGTCAGGTGGGCTCCTTCTCCTTCCCGGGCTCTCCAAGTCCCCCGCAAGATCTGTCACACCTGACACCAGCTCTCCGTCCCCAGGACAGCTCACGTGCTGGGTCTCCCTCCATGTCCCTGGTCCCTCTCAATGGCTCCTACAGGCTCTCAACTCGGGTCACAACACGCCCTGCACCCTGGGCCTCGGCCCAGCAAGGCCACCCTTTCTCAGAACAACCCTCCGCTTTCTGCCCCACGCCCCCCACCCCACTCCTCTCTCCTACAGCCTGCCCACCCCTCGGGCCTCCTTCCACCCCACGTTAGAAATGTTCGCTTCCTCTTTAACTCCCTTATCTACACCGCCGAGCACAGCACATACCGCATTCTGTCTTAGCACCTGGCACACACGAAAGAGTAAGTGTAAAGTGTTTATCATTAGAATACTTCTCTTTCTAATCTGGTGTCAACTGCTGGATGCAGAGTTCTCCAAAGAGGCCTCCAGAAGGGCACTGTGCCCGGTTTAGACACGACCACCCACAGAAGCCTGACACCCGCACAGCTGGCCAACCCGGTACCCAGTTCGCCGGGAAGCAACCAGCACACGGTATTTCGACAGCTTCCGAGAAAAGGAAACATCCATTAAAAGCTTTAGTGAAGGCAGATACAAAACGTATTCCACAGCCATTTACAAAGAGGAAGTTACACACACAGTATCGACAGACGTTTTTTCACATTGTAATTCCAAACTGCATCAAGCTGCAGCGTGTCCCGTCTGGGGCGCAGCAAAGAGCGGTTCCTCGGTGCCACTCTGACACGTTCTGGGGGGAAGTTATTTTGCTTTAAAAGAATCATGAAGTTAATAAAGTTTGTATAATTATACAGCACATTTCTCAGAAGACATCCACAATTTCACAAGCAGCAGAGACTCGTATCAGAAACCCTGAGAAGCCCCAGGTCCCACCCGACTTCAAGGGAAGATGTGAACTGACGCCCACTGCCGTCCCTTACTATGTGACAACGGTCCCGTCCCCCTACCTTTGAGCCTCAGGCAACTAGAAGACGGACTACGGAAAAAGGACCTCACTGGCCATTCTCGGCGCCGGGAGGGTCTCCGAGATCCCACCGTAAACGCACTGACTCCACGTGCCCCCGTCTGCGCCCTCACTCGCAGGCATCAGTAACGGCGCCCACACCCGTGCCCGGGTCTGGGGCACAGAGCCAGGTACGGTGCTCCGCTCTGTCCTCAGGGGCCCTCGCCCCAGGATGGGGAGGGCTGCGCGTCTACAGAAGGACAGCAGGCCCTGAACGGAGGAAACACGGACAACGGCAGTGGGGGAAGGGGCGCAGGGAGCCCTGGGTTCTGGCTGAGGGGTCCGGAAGGCGACGGCTGGAAATGGCGTCACGGGCCAGCTCCGCGGGGCACCATGCGTCTGCTGTGTTGTTTCGTCACCTGAGGCCCCCGCTCCTTTCCCTGGCCTGGATCCCAGCCTGGTGTCTGATTCTTCCCCGGCCCCTGGGTCCTTCCCCACGATTCTGAAGTCTGAGCAGCTCTCAACACTTGCAGCTTCTCTCCTACTTACTTGGTGGCAAAACCCAGCCGAGACTGTGGACGGCTCTCGGTCCCCGTATTCTTCCTGCCACTTAGGGAACCCAGGCAATGACCGTGCCTCTGCCCAGTGCCCAGCCAGGCCCAGGGCCACCAAGGCTCCTCGCCACTCTCACCCTGCAAACCCAGCGGGGCCCGTCGGCCGCAGACAGCACTGCGGCCCTGCAGTGAGGCCTGCCTCATCCCTCCTCCCTGACCCTCACCACCGTCACGGCCTTCTCGAACGGCCAGCGGGAGCTCCACGCCCGGCCTCCACAGCAGAGCGAGTGGGCCCCTCTCCAGTGGGTACTGGCTCACACACCCACGCGTCCCCACACAGCCCACAGGAGAAGCCCGAGTCCTGGGTGCAGTGTAAGAGGGTGGCCGAGGCCTGGCCACCCCCGAGCTCTCGTGATTCAACTTCGGGCATTCTGCCGACCCTGACTGGCAGACACACCGCGGTGCGGCTCCCGGGAGGTGCCCGTCGGTCTCGGCTCCCTCTGCCTTTGCACCAGCTTTCCCTCCGCCCCCAAACCCTCTCTTCTCCCATCCTGATCTCTATTCCTGCTCATCCCCAGGCCTAGTGGTCCTCAAGGTCTGACCTAGAACATTCCATGGTGCATCCTTCCCTTCCCCCGTTCCAGGCAATGCTGACCACTCCTCCTCCTCCATGTATTTCCAGACATGAACTTCATGACTCTGTGGCCAGCACACAGAGTCTCCCGAATGCTGGGGCCACTGCTTATTCCCAGGTCCTGACACTGGACGTAGCACACAGTAGGTGCTCAAGAAAAACAGGTTGAATGGACCGTCTTCCTGGCTGACCCAGATGGCTCGGCCTCGTCAGCTCCTCCGGGACGGCTGCTCCTCCCCTGCCTTCTGTCCCCTGTACCCCCGCTCCTGTTCCACTCCCAGGAGCCAGTGTCTGGGGGTGACAGGGGACAGAAGCTCCAGGGGAGCCCTTGGCATCTGGGGCCGGAGAAGTCCCCGTGGAGGCCTGCCCTGTGTTCGGCAGCGCCCCCGGCCCGGGCCCTGCAGACGTCAGGAACACACCGCCTTCCCGCTGGGACAACCGCGCGTCCCCCCACGCTGCCAGGTGTCCCCGACGGGGGCCACAGCCCAGGCTGGTGTTTCCAGGCCGTTGCCAGGAACGGCCTGGTTCGCCTGGTCAGGGTCCCTGCACCCACTGCCTCTGGTGACAACGCGGAGGGAAGGGGACGCTGACTCCAGCAGTCGTGGGGCTCAGGGACGGTGTGACAGGCACACGTAGCCACGGTGACACTTCACGGGAATGTGACCCTCACGGGCCTGTGCGGAACCCCGTGGTTACGGGAGCCAAGTTCAGGTTTCAGGTCAGGCTGCAGTGACGTTTTCCTGAGTGTGACTCACTCGGGGGCACGGACATGTCCCTGCCGAGGGAGACAGGGCGCAGCAGCTGAACGTCACCGGAGCCCCGGGGACCTGCTCTGGAAAACAGCCAGGGAGCCCAGAACTCAGGGATGTGCACGGAAGCACCGAACCTCACCGGGAGGAGAGGGGCGGGGACCCCACGGACAGACAGGACACGAGACCGCACCCACCTGTGGTCGCCACAACGTGCTCGGGGCTCTCGCTGCAGAGCTGGGACAGCAGGCTGGTCTTGCCGGAGCCCGAGAGCCCTATGCACACCAGGTCATACTCCGGCCGTGCGGGTGGCGGTCCCTTGCAGCACAGTGCTCGGAAACACTGCCAAGAGAGGGAACAGGGGGCTCCTTTAATAAGAACACGGACACAGAGCTTAGCGACAGTCAGTGAGTCTTCAGAAGTGGTTACATAACCCATCACTCAGCGGGGGAGAGGTCACTGCAGAGCAGAGCAACCAGAGGGCACCAGCTTAGCCCGTGATGGGTCGCCACCCCCAGGAGGGATGCAGATGCGGACTCCACACCCCCCCCCAGGAGGGACGCAGGCGTGAACTCCTCTCCCCAACCCCCCCCCCCCCCCGCAGCAGGTGGGCTTCGAGGGGACTCCGTCAGGACCCCGCTTCCCTGCCCCAAACGCATACCCTGAACCGGCAGTGAGGGGTCAGACAAGCCGCTCCGAGAGCGCTCTCAAGGAGACGGGCCTGCTCTCCAGAACCGCCGTGTCCCAACTGTCACATCCGGCAAAGCACATGGCGGAAGTGCCCCTGGTCACAGACGGTGGGAGGGACGGGTGAACGGGGCCTGGGTGGGGCCCGTGGGACAATGCCACCGGATGCATTTCTGCGACCAGAGCAGGCCAGGGCGGACGGGAGGCTGGGGAGTGGACCCCCGTCGCACAGGCTCGGCGTCCGAACGTGGGCACTGCGCTGCGGGGACCCGGAGGAAAGCTGTGCTCTGGGGGTCACACACGTGGGCGCTCAGAGGAGGAGGAGCTTGACACCCCAGCTCACGGGCTCCGAAAACTCCTCCGTCCCCACGTGGTGCGGAGCGTGACAAAGCACCGTGGCGAAACGTCAGGGATGACTCGTGACGCCGAGGACACAGTTGACAGGAAGATTCCTTGTGCTGGCCTTACAGCTCTTTGATATATTTCAAAATAGGATCCTTTTAAAATCACTCCCTGGAGCCTCTGTACACAGCGCTGCGGTCCGACCTCTGTCAGCCTGGGTCTGCGAACTGTCACGGGGCCAGTCGGCCCCGCGGGCGTCAAAGGGGAGGACATCTGGGGCACTGGAGATGGTTCGCGCTGTTTTTGATCTTTCAACCAGTCTGACACCCCTCTACCAGGGCCAGCGGTTGTCAATCCAGACACGTTTAGGTCCTGAATGGTTCTACACACGGATGGAGGCCAGGCAAGACAGACAGACCGACTGACATCTGGTCACCTGGAGACCACAAGGAAGGACCACTACGAAGCCTGAGCCAGCTCTCCTGCCTCAGGCTAAACCTGACACCCGACCGCTGCCCTGCTCGCGCAAATCAGCTTCGCCGTTTGGCTCCCCACCATCTCATGTCTCCTCAGTCCACACAGACACGCTCTGTTCACACTGGCGTTGTCACAGCCTAGCACCTGTGTGCACATCTGCAGCCCAGGCCCCGGCCGCCTGGACTCCATCCGCACACTCCCACGGCCCAGGCCGTCCATTCCTGCTCTCGCCCTTCTCCACGAGCACCCCCAACCCTGCAGTCGCTCAGGAAACCTGATCTCAGGTGCCTGGCCCTGCTCAACAGTGTCGCCTGCCCGGGGGCCAAACCCTGGTCCCTGTCTGCAAGGCCCAGAGTGGCCTGCCCTCCCCTGCGCACGCCCACCTCCAGCCACACTGAGCCTGTCCCACCTCAAGTCTCTCTAACAGGTGCTGCTGCCCACACCTTCGGCCGAGTGAAGCCCTCCTCGGGGCTCAGGTTCGGCTCCGGCACCCCGTCCTCGGGGCTGCCTGCGCCGATCCGAAGAGGGCATCAGAATTCGCGTCAAACTGTCCCCACACGTCTAGGAGTTCTGCACACAGACTCCGCCGTCTGTCATTCCTCGTCAGAGTGTCTGTCCACCCTCACCTCGGTGGTGTCCCCGGGGCCGCGAACGCACCCTGGACAAGTAACTGTCGAATGACAGCCAACCACCTCCAAGTCTCACGTAAGGAAAGAGGAGGCCGGCGTCAGACTAGCAGCAGGCCTGGTCTGCGCTGGCTGGGCTCCGAGCAGAGGGTGTCGAAACAAGAGGAGCCCTGCGCTTTCCTTCTCGGCCGCCTCAGCGCCAGACCAGCCCAGTTCCCAGAAGGGGTTTTGACGTGCAGACCCTTTCATCCACATAATGGGGCTGCTGTCTGTCTCCACCTCCCCTTCCCTCGGCTTTTAAGAGGCTCTGCCTGCTTCTGGTAAACAACTCTGATCTAAGCCATGCTCTTCGCAGTGGATTAAACTCTGCCCACATGTCCTCAGTCTGTCCCGGCCTGAGGGGTCCCGATGGCGTCTGTCTGCCTCCGCGCGGCCGCCCTCAGCCTCGCCTCGCATCCCCGCCACCCCCACGAGACCAAGGGCTGGGGCTGCTTCACGCCCCAGGTCTGCGCATGCGCCAGCCCAGACGGCCCAACCTCCCACCAGCTTCTCTTCACGGAGGGGAAGCCAGTCTCCGGCCCGATGGGGGGATGCTGAAGAGATGCATGTGTGTGAGCTGTGTGTGCTTGTGTGCTGTGGGTGTGCATGCATGTCTGGTGTGTGATGTGCATGCATGCAGGTCCGATGTGTTTTGTGTGTGTGTGTATGGTGTGTGTATATATATAATATATAGTAATACATATTATATATGATATATATGTTACACGTACGTGTATATGTGTTGTAGGTGCATTGTTGGGTGTGTGTGATGTAAGTATGCTGTGTGCTGTGTGTGCATGTATGTGAAGTGTGTGAGAGTATGTTGTATGTGTGCACATATGATGATGCATGTTTTCCCTCCAAGACAACCAGGGCCTGGCAGGTGCCCACGCAGGAAGCCCCGCCAGACCCGACTGTGACAGGCCACCCCACCGGTCCCGTCCCACCGTGGCTCTGCTTTCTCTTCCTGGGTTGCTTTGATCTCGGCTGGGGGGAAGGGAGCCCCTACTCTGTGGTCACCCCCACTCTTGCTCAGAGCCTCTAACCGGACTCCCCTGGACCGCCTGTAACTGCCCCAAACCAAACTCTCATCAATCTTAAACACAGATGATGATGGCACCACCCGGCTGAGAGCGTTCATGTGCCCATGTGACTCGGCAGTTTGGCCAGAAGTCCCAGAACTCCGTCTTCATGTTCTTTTCGAACCCAGAGGGTAAAAACTGTGCAGGCAGGCCCAGTAATACCTGCACTGCCCACCTGCATATTCCAGGCCACCTGAGACACCGCGGCCATACGAAGCCACCGGAGGTGACGGCCTGCCCCGCTCTCCTATCTCCTTCCTCGGCCCCCACGGCCCCATCGTGCGGAGGCCAAGAGCGCCTGGCACAGCACCTCCCCTGCCCCAGTCTCTTTCCCGAAACGCGGGATCTGTGTTTCCAACTGTGCTGGAAGAACCGAGTAAATCGGAATAAAACAAAAGTCTCCCAACCCTGTCCCACAAAAGGCAGTGTTTGGAAAGAAGGTAGCTGGGACACAGAAAGCTTCAAGGTTAGAGTAACAATTATTTCAAGGCAGAATCTTGGAATATTGATTTGAAATAAATCAATCCTACCGTTAAATAGCAATAGTATCAGATTTTGTGCCAATTAAGAAAGGCTTCTAAGAACATGTTATTTTGAACAGGGGGAATAACGTCCACATTTTTTTATCAGTTCCTAAAACCTCTAGGTTTTCACTTGTGTTTCGTTTTAAAACTTCACGAAGCTGCGGGCCTCACAGCCGACTTCCCGGACACGACGCGTTTGGGCCCGGAGCCCGCGCCACACCGGAGCCCATTGTGTCTGCCTCCCGAGCAGCCCCGCATTGTGAGGAGCTGGCCCCTTTCACCGCGCACAATGCCGAGCACAATGCTGTCGGCAGGCCTGGCAGCGAGTGGCGAGCTCGGGCTGCATTCCCAGGCCAGACACTAGGGCATTGTGCGCCCCTGCTCGGGCCCACAGCCCTGCACGCTCCGGTCTCCGTGCGGTTAACCAGTCACGTCTGACCGTCCCCACCTCTGCCCTGCGGCAGGACGATGCTCGGTGCAGGCAAACGACGGTGCATCGCGAGGCTGATTTTCCTAAGGGGGTGCAGCTTCCTCGGGCAGGGGGGCCCGGCAGCCCACCCACTGCACAGCGTGCTGCGCAGCCCAGGCTGCAGCCCCTCCCCCATCAGTGCAGGGCAGCCCCCAGGGGCTCCAGCCCACCTGGGTCCAAGCTGAGAGGCGGAAGATGGGAGACCCTTGGCCCTGACGTGCAGCAGGGAGCAGAGGATAGGGGTCTGCGCTGCAGCCGCTGGGCCCGGGGAGGGGCAGTCAAGGTCTCTGTGACCTGGATGGCTCTGCACACAGGTCTTCCCACCTGGGGTTCCTATGGACTTGCTCCTTGGCAGACAAACTCAGTGCCTCTCTCCCACTGGGTCAGGGCACGGGATGTCTCCCCTGAGCAGGCGTGCACAAGCCGCCACTGCTGCCCTAGCGGGAGGTGAGTGAGGCGTCGGGTGAAGGGCCAGGACCGAAGGCTCTGTGTCAAAAACTCTGCACAAATCGTATCTTCACCTGAAAGGTGCACTGGCTAAAAAGCATAAGCAAAAACCTCGAGACATTTGCTTAAAGGAGAGAGAACACAAGCACTAGGGGAAAAAATAAGCTGAAAATAAAAGAGCAAAATGAGGTAAAATGAGGCCACCACTTTGGTCTGGTGGCCTGGCACCAAGGCAGCAAGACTGTCTTAAAACGTCCCCATTTCTGCTGGGGACAGAGCCCTGTCACAGCAGGTACCCTGTGAAGAACTGCTCAGCAAATTGACCCTGTAAAGCACTAATTAAGCACTTAATTGGGCGTCTCGATTCCCTCCACATCTGCACCTTAATGAGCCCAGGCCCTTCCAAACGACGCCCCAGTCCCTCCGCCAGTCCGAGCCTCCACGCTTCTGGGCCGCCGGCGCCAAGCGGCCCGCAGAGGCCCTGGCCCGCCTCGCCGCCCTGCTCCGGGGGCTCCCTCGCTGGGCGGTCTTCTCCGGGTCCCCCAGACGGGGACGGCACACCCTTACTTCCACTGCCAGCCCTCGGCCGTCAACACTGTGCCACTTGTACCTTTTTCTGACTGTACAGATTATTTGCTGATAGAATTAC